GGCAAATGCTTTCAAGGCATTCTATACAAATCAGCATTTTCATTCTGGAGATTTACATCTGCAAAAGTAGATTAAAATTTGACTCTTCATCTAAATTTACAACTGTAAAGTATTTGTACTTTATCCTGCTGATTCCAAAATGAAAATCTTCAATTTACTGAAGTGAGACTAAAAAAATTATAGTGTTGACGCGCCATCGATTCGGAAGAATCATACTTCATATTTGCATTGTACACCTGTGAACTATCTCCAGCTAAACTGTCAAAGCAAAATATGTTAGCCTTGAAACGTAACCCTGAAACGCCCTAAACCTTCACAAAAACGGCGGTGAACTTCTGCTACGAACACAAGTATCTGAGTGGTTTATTGCTCCTTTCTCGCCGCCTTCTGTTTCGAACTGCTTGCCCAGAAAAATGACCTCATGTAAAACACTTGAAGTTTCGTCTTTCTTAGTGCTGCAAAGTTATATTCCTCCGGTAAGACTGCTAGTACAGGATAAACTCCAACTTTCATATAAGAACAAAGGTGTTTCATCACTGGCTTCGATAGCAAACATTTCACTAACGAAATAGCACTCAGCAAAAAATTACTGAAGATTGTAACTTGTGAAAATTTTGTTTACAATTATGATTCACGACTAAAGGTATATAATGAAACATTGAAAAACCGTTCAAAATGCAATACAAAAAAACTAGCGCTGTATTCAGTACTGAGCATCCTTCGGCACGATAAACGTCTTTGTAACACTACAATTTAGGAAAACTTTCTCACTCCCTAAGATATGCAAACGATTCTTCCTCGCCTTTCAGGGTTGAGCTCAATTTTTCACAGCTTCCGAAAACAAACCCTATAAAGCTTAAAGAGCCATTGTTGACTACTCGCACTTTTCGTAAACAATTTTTCTTTACTTCGGTAGTAAAAAGAATTTGATCTTTGATCTCTTAGTTTTAGATACTTTTAGTTTATTCATTTCTTAGCTACTCTAAATCCCATCATTTTTGTACAACAAGTTTAAGTTTAAAAATGTTTAAAACCTGAAGACCCATCTGTGCCAACTGCCTTCACTGACAAAGTAAACTGTGCTGCTCTACAGATCTGAGGAGAACGAGTCAATAATCCAAAAATTCCACAAACTGAACTTTATAAGTCTTTATCTGGTACAGCAAATAGCCTTTCATTTTTGCTAGACCTTTCGCTTACTTCTAGCCCCGGTTCTAAAAGGCGGCAACATATTTAAACCACAAGTTTTCCTCCACAGGACAGAGATAAGTGACAATTCGCAACAACAAAAACAAAACCCACTCACTGTACCGTTTTCGTAAAATCATACGTTA